GTGCCTGGCCAGCCTGGGTGAGGGGCTGAGGGCCGTTTTCAGGCTGGCCAAGCCCCCCCGGCGACAGAAGCTCCCAGCCTCTCCTTTTTTTCATTTTTTTTATTCTGAGATTTATTTACCTCCTATAATTGAAACTTTGTAGCCTTGAGAGGAGCTCAGAGCTGGGCAGGAGGGAAGCTTAGCTTCCTCCATCGCCAGGGGCAAGCTAAGCCTCCTGCTCGCTCCAGCTCTGTGGCCATGGCCGGCTGAAAGCAGGTATCTGGGGTTTATTTACCTTCTATAATTGAAACTTTGTTGCTTTGAGTGGAGCTCAGAGCCACTGCGGCAGGCAGGAAGCTTGGCTTCCTCCATCATTGGGGCAACCAAGCCTCCTGCTTGCTCCAGCTCCATGGCTGCTGGCTGCCATCTTGGTTGGGTTAACTTGCATATAGTCACTCTGATTGGCTGGTGGACATGGCTTAAGGCATAGTGAAGGTAAGGTCAATTTGCATGTTTGTCTTTTATTAGTGTAGATTATTATTGTATTACAGAATTTTTTAAATATATTTTTATTGACTTCAGAGAAGAAGGGAGGGAGAGAGATGACACATCAATGATGAGAGAGAATCATGGGTCCGCTGCCTCCTTCACGCCCCACATCGGGGATGGAGCCCGCAACTGGGGCATATGCCCTGACCGGGAATCGAACCCTGACCTCCTGGTTCATAGGTCAACGCTCAACTGGCCGGGCAACTAGACACTAACTGGTCTGGAGACCTCAGTATGAGGAGGGAGCTTTGGGGGGACAATGCCAACTTCTCCACCTGCCTTCCCCCCAGGGCTGGAGGAAGGAGCCCCCTTGGGGGCCAGTGCCCACGCTCACTGCCCGGGGCCTGCTTTCGGGGCCCTGACTTGGTCGCATCTGCCGGGTGGTGGTGGACAAGAGACAAAGGCTTCGGGTGCACACTAACAGCACCTCTGCGCCTCCAGGAATGGAAGACAAAGGAGATGCTGCTGCTCACGAGAATCGTAGAAGACGTGAAGCGAGAAGCACGAATAGAGGAGCAGCGGCGGCGGAACCGGGAGGAGAACGACAGGAAGGTAGACGTGGCCTCCCCTCTGCCACATCGGGGGTACAGGCAAGGGCTAGTGGGGCCTCCCCTCTGCCACATCAGGGGTACAGGCAAGGGCTAGTGGGGCCTCCCCTCTGCCACATCAGGGGTACAGGCAAGGGCTAGTGGGGCCTCCCCTCTGCCACATCAGGGGTACAGGCAAGGGCTAGTGGGGCCTCCCCTCTGCCACATCAGGGGTACAGGCAAGGGCTAGTGGGGCCTCCCCTCTGCCACATCAGGGGTACAGGCAAGGGCTAGTGGGGCCTCCCCTCTGCCACATCAGGGGTACAGGCAAGGGCTAGTGGGGCCTCCCCTCTGCCACATCAGGGGTACAGGCAAGGGCTAGTGGGGCCTCCCCTCTGCCACATCAGGGGTACAGGCAAGGGCTAGTGGGGCCTCCCCTCTGCCACATCAGGGGTACAGGCAAGGGCTAGTGGGGCCTCCCCTCTGCCACATCAGGGGTACAGGCAAGGGCTAGTGTGGCCTCCCCTCTGCCACATCGGGGGTACAGGCAAGGGCTAGTGTGGACTCCCCTCTGCAGGGTACAGGCAAGGGCTAGTGTGGCCTCCCCTCTGCCACATTGGGGGTACAGGCAAGGGCTAGTGTGGGCTCCCCTCTGCAGGGTACAGGTGGGGGTTAGTGTGGGCTCTCCTCTGCGGGGTACAGGTGGGGGCTAGTGTGGGCTCCCCTCTGCGGGGTACAGGTGGGGGTTAGTGTGGGCTCCCCTCTGCGGGGTACAGGTGGGGGTTAGTGTGGGCTCCCCTCTGCGGGGTACATGTGGGGGCTAGTGTGGGCTCTGAGGGACAAGTGCGCTGCAGTGTGTCACCCCGAATGTGGTCAGCGACAGCTCTGAGCGATGAACACGGTTCCCACCTTGGGCTACACTGGGTTCTGACTACAGTACAGAAAGCACCACTCCAGGGTTTGACAGTCCCACACCATGAACCACACTTGAAATTCCTACAGGAAACAAGTGATGTGACTGATTTTTTCTTAGAATCAAAATTTCTTGGGAAAAGTCCTCCATTTTCACCCATCAGTTAATTTCAGAGTAAATGCTTTTAATTTTAAATCAGATATAATATTTTAAGATTTTGAGTCTCAATCTGTTTTAAAAAAGAGAGCGAGAAAGGATTGGCAATCCCAGCACCACGCCATGAACTACTGGCACACGCCCTCCCAGAGGCACACCTCGCGCACAGTATTTCTGGGAGCGTCTGGGATTGATTTATTTCCTTGTTTTATGGCTCATTTTCCCCTGATGCTTTGTATGCTTAGCTGCCTTTGAGCGGACGCTCGATATGCCATGAACTTGACTTTTGGGGTGCTGAATCTTTTTCTTATAAATACTATTACTTGTTGTTGTTTTTCTTGGATGGAGATGATTTATTTAGAAACCCTTTGATCAGGTCAGTGTGGTCTTGCTTTTTAAAATGTGTTAGATGGAGCCAGACCGTGTCTAACCTGAGACTAGTTATCCCCCATCCTGCTTCCCCACCCAACGCACCGTGAGTGCAAGTTCCCAGAGTGGCTGCGGGGCGGGCGTGACAGGCGGCCCGGAACGCGGTGCTCCCGACCCTTCTGGACGGTCCTGGCCGTGGTCCGGGGCCGCTGGCCACATACAGGTGCTGCTCCGCTCTCTGCTAGGGAACCGCCTGAGGAGGGCGGGGCTCGCTCTGGGCAGCTCCCCCTTTTCTGGCACCTCCAGGGCCACTCTTAGCCTGGAGGTTCACAAAAGGGAGTCGCATGTCACGGTTCTATCATGTTTCCCTCGGGTCGGCCTGAGTGACTGTGGGTGAGTCCCTCGGAAACCCCCCGCTGGAAGGTGATTAAAACACCCTCAGCTTCCCAGACGCTAGGCAGTCAGAGCCCCTTCCGACCGGACTCTGGACCAGGTCCCCGAACACCTGCGGGGAGTGAACTGTGTGTGCCCATCGCGTCTGAGCACAAGAGGAAGCACACCCGGCTCCCCGCCTGGCGGCGCCCCAACAGCCTGACCGGCCACCCGCCTGGAGGAAGCTCGTGTCCCAGGCGCCCTCGCACTGTTCGTGTTTGTTCTGCATTTCTCAGTGGCCAGGTGATGCCAACCGATGCATTTTCTTTAACGTTTTAGAAACAAGTTCTTTTAGAGAAGAAAATGGCTTATCACTTACAAAAAATGCAACAAAATGGCCTCAGAAGAGAAGACACAGGGAAGAACACACCAGATTACAGAGGACAGGAGGGTGCGTGCTCTGAATGTAAGCAGTCGCGGCAGAGGTGTTCTGTGGAGAGCATGTTGCTGTGTGCGCAGATGGAAGTGCTTCTGTAAAACGGGGCTTGCTCTCCTTGCTTTGTACCAGGCGCAGCTCTAGACGTTCCCCTATTCCGTTCAAGGTGAAGAGTAGACATGTATGTAAAAACACACCAAAATAACCTTACAACGTGGTTCAGTAGACAAGGCTGCCCACGCTGCAATTCTAACCAATTTCTCTAGATGTAAAGTCCTGTCTTCTTTGCTGCTACAGTGGTCCTCAACCTTCCTAATGCCGCGACCCTTTAATACAGTTCCTCATGTTGTAACCCAACCATAAAATTATTTTCGTTGCTACTTCATCACTGTCATGTTGCTACTGTTATGAATTGTCATGTAAATATCTGATGTGCAGGATGGTCTTAGGCGACCCCTGTGAAAGGGTCGTTCGACCCCCAAAGGGGTAGCGACCCACAGGTTGAGAACCGCTGCTAACGGCTAAAAAAGTTGCGTGAAAGATAATGGCCAGGATATGCCAACCAAGCTTTCTGCGATGTTGCCAGCCAGGAAGAGTAGCAGTCAGTTCCAGGACAAAGCAAGGGAAGGAGGGGGCTGAGGACTTAGAGAGGGGCGGGGAGTGAGGAAATTGGAAGGGAAAAAGGACATGAAGAAAGTTTAAGGAAGGAACATCAGGCCACGACTTGGCCAGGCCCAATCTCTATTGGATTCCTTCCATATATAACATTATAAAACTATTGAGGACTTTATCACATCAATTTAATTCATAACATGACTATTTCATGGCCAGAACACAAAGATGTAGACTCGTTTTAATGATCTGTGACTCTATAGTATCGGGAACACACGGTCACCCCCCATGCAGCCATCAGCACAGCATCCCAGCCAACCAGCCTCTGCCCCCTGGTCCTCTGTCCAGGTGAGAGCCTACCTGTGTCACCCCCATAAATCCCTAGCTGGTCCCCACCAGCTCTCCATGTAACCCACTTCAAACCCATTTTTAAACGATGACCTAACGATGCTTTACACTCTCCTGATTGTTTCTGGTCCTGGCCCCACAACTTAAGGAGCCCAGGACCTCTCAAATGGAGCTCTGCCTTCATAGGCAGCCGGTCATCTCATTGATGGCCGTCTAGAGTCCTCACCAAGTCTAATGTTTTACTGTATTTCCTGTGTCTCCTTGAAGGCAGCTGCGATCTAGTCGCTAACATGTTCAGGCTCTTGAGCCAAATGTGAGAGTCCACGCTCCGCTGTACCGCGACCCTACCAAGCAAATAGCTGGGAAGGTCACTTCCCTCCCCTGAGCCTCAGTGCCATCATTTGGAGACAAAGCGCATACTCCTGTTTAAAAGTTCTGGCCCACAGTAAGCACTCAAGTCAGTTCATTGTCCAGTCAAATGAGATGAAAGGCCGCTCCTAAAACACACATCACCTTCCACATTTCCAGGCCTCCCCTTCCCAGTCTCCTCAGCCTGGTCTGCATGCTCACTGACCAGCTCTCCAAACCCAGCTGTAACGTCAGCTCCAGAAAGCTGTCCTGAATAGACCCGGCTGGAGCGTCCCTCTCCTTGGAGTCCCTTGTAGTACCTTGGGTCATTCTTTTTCCTTTTTGATGCATTCAAGCCGCATTATTATTTTATTTTTTAATTCATCCTAGAAAGAGGAAGGGGGAGAGAGAGGGAGGGAGCAGGGAGAGAGAGGGAGGGGGGAGGAGGGGAGGGAATAAGGGAAATAGAAACATCGACGTAAGAAAGATCAATCGGGTGCTTCCCGTACAATGCCCGACTGGGAATCGAACCCACAACCTGGGCATGTGCCCTGACCGGGAATCCAACCCACCATCTTTTGGTGCACAGAACAATGGTTCAACCAACCAAGCCACACGAGGCAGGCCTGCTTTGTGCCATTCTTGACCCACGTGTTACAGATCCCATCCACCTTCACCAGCCCTCACATTGCAACCTCGGTGTTTCTCGGGCACCTAGCACTCTGCACGTATGTACGTATAGACTACATGCATGTTTGCTCAATGAGCTAATTCGATCGATTCAGCTCATTGGGATAATGACAGCAATGCCCCACTTCAGAAATCACTTCAGTAACTATACATACTCCTTTCTCGTCAACTGGGAACTTTCTCACTTAGTAG